AAAACAATTAAAGAGTACTACGGCGTGAATGACGGTAATGGTCATGCTTGGGGCGATTATAATTCAAAGGTATTTCGTTTTCTTTTAAATGGGGATGAGCCTATCTTTTAAATTTATCGCCACACGGGACAGCCTTCACTATCAGCGTCTTCTCAAACCCAATGATGATGCCGTTCGTCAAGAATTTAGGTTGGAAAAATTGGCTATTGTTTTGCTTCTGCGAAGCTTAGAAAGCCATTCAAAGGGTGTGCGCCAATGAGCGAGCGAGCGTTCGCCGAAAGATCGTTGCCAAGTGTCGATATCAGTTAATGTGAAATAACACCCTAGTCTCCCGATACTCAGCCATTAATGATTAAACAATATTTAAGCGACGGATGGCCACAAACAGCGGTCCCCGGTGGCCGCCCAAGTGCATGTCCGCTCCTAGTTACCGGATTCCAGTACTAATGGAAGCAATCACAGCAAAAGTAGAAGATGACGACGCAGCGATGAGCTTCCGTTCGATAAATAATGTCTAGGCACTGATTGCCGCTCACAGCTTTTTGGAGCACTGACTTGAGTGATGACGACGAGTAAACATCGTGCTAGTAACAAGAGCGGAGCAGTCATTTATGTAATATCGATCGGCTGGAAACAAAGCGAACACGATTACAAGTTCATAAAAACACGATTTCGACAAAGAAGAGTGCCCGAGGTGATTTGAACAGCAACGCCACCAGCTGGCACAGGCCAACGGTAGTAGCAACTTATCAGGGTGTGAATTTATTTTGAATTTATAGTTTGAATGAACCGCCACGTCATGTAACATCTAGCCGATACGTATTGACACTGGCTAGAGCAAATAATGTGTTCGTCCGCGGATCCCTGTGTGAATTTGTGTCTGTCTGAAGGTACAGGTATGTTACGAATGCTCTAAGCCTTACGGGAGAACGGGAGGAAGAGACCAGCAGGGAAGAGAGACGGTGGTCAACCAAGTCGCTAGAACACATCCATGATAAGCAAGCAATTGCAAACCAGCGAACTGCAGACGAATCCTGCGAGGGATTAGCCCATCAATGTGAAGAACTATAGAACACTGCGCGAGAACGGCTATCTAAGACAAGCACTAACATTAGAGCTCCTATTAAATAAATATGTTGCTATTTGTTGTAGAAGTGGCGCCAAACATGATTCTGAGAAGAACTTGTTCTGCGTCTGGGTAAGGAATATTTTAGACAAGAATGGCGTGTTGATTGTTTTCTAATGCTTATAACTAGTAGTTCACAAGAAGAAACAATAGGCGATGCTTTTTCTTACTAAAACCATCGAGTTTTGTTTGATGTTCGCAAAGCTACCATGCGTCTCTTAACGTCTTTTAAATACGAAGGTTACGTCCCATCATGTGTTTGAAGTGCGCCTGCTCCGTCTGTTCGACTTCATTTTCTTGAAGAACTAGAATATTTAGTTATCATAAATATGCACATGCTTCAAGTGTCATGACTCATCATAATACACATTCTGGAAATGATTTATTATTATATATTCGTCAATATATCACTGCTGGGCTTTTTGCTGGCGCCTTGAAAAATTTTCACACGATATTAATCATTAATTCAGTATTATGCATTTGTGTTAAGCCAAACGAAATGTAAAACCTATTAAAGATGTAGAGTATAATAATATTCATGCTTAAATTTGCTTTACATCTAGCACGATCCGTTGGTGAACTGCTGTGGCAAGACATGTTTAAGTTGAAAGGTTCTGAGTTAAGTACAAGATGAAACCAGGACAACTAGGATTACTGTTTGGGAACATTCGTCGACGTATGCTTCATCACCTTTACCAGATATGTTCAAATAACTCCTACAAAAAACTGACCGAAACCGATTTCAGCTATATTTCTGTGATTATTTTTTTTTTATAGTAAAGATATTGGGTCATAAAAGCATCTAGCTAAATAAATGTTTTAAATTTTACGTCTTGTACCAGCGTTTGTGAAGCATTGTCTCAGACGGCTGGCCCGCAACAAGAAACGAAAAGCGTCAGCTTCGTGTCGACGCTAGATCACCTCACTTGTCCCTAACGTTAGTAGGCAAACACGTTACCACTGCCACCACCATCACGGGGACAAAAAAAATCGCATTGCATCAACTTAGTTAATTTTGGATGGCAATCGATTGCGGGAGGAATCGTCGACTTCAATTTAATAACAGGCACTGAATAGCTAAGATCGTCTTTAAAATATTGCGCGTTCAACATACTCAATGTTAGCTATTTAAATATACTCAATTTAAGTTACACAACCTGGACCCAACAGAAAATTTCTAAAAAGAGAAATTTCCTGGGCGATCGTCCATTTGCCGTTGCATTGATTCGGTCTTCTTTCAAATTTCGCGGTTCTATTGGTAAACGCGGAAGCGGCGATGCATTACGAACCAGTCAATGTGAAATATAACTTCGGTCATTGAAACAAATATACTATTGGAAAGTACACGTATTCTAGTAAGTGTCGTAGCAATGGTTAGCGTTGATATCTATTACGTAAACTGGGACTGAGCCATATAAGGGCCTTCTTTGTTGATAAAGGAAGGCATTGCTGTTAACCTACGCTATCCAATCGGCCAAAGTCTTAAATGAATCATGATAAACGAGAAAACATGTTGTTTAAATTGGACGACCATGGTAGAGCATGTGGGGTTGTGCTGGCCAATCCTTCCATAGTTACCTCACGTTTTCAGATAAGCAATATATAATGTCCAGTACGGCAAACGTGAACTGTCGCAGAATGACTTTTTCTTTACCGATTTGCTCAATATCGTTAGCTTCACGTATCTATTGTTGGCTGTTTTGCGATCTGCTACATGTAGCGGAAGTCCGGAGCTGGGAAAGACGCTGAGCATCTCGAACTCGTTTACCCTGTTACCTTGCACTTAACGGCAGACTAAATAAGGCCGGTGCGTTGCTCCGGACCGGATCAAAGAGAGCGTCCATAATAAAATCTAACCGCTGACGAAGTCGGCCGGCAATAAAATGAAAAAATGTGACAGCCCGAAAATTGCACTTGCGCAAAGATATGTAAATAGATAATAATCATGACATTTCAGCCAGGCCAAAATGACGTCAGAAATGACAGGCGATGGAAAAAGTTTTAAGTGACATTTGTGAAATTAATCGCCAAACGAAAGGTACAAGCGTCTTCACTTCGAGCACCCGTGCAAGGCGCTTTTCCGAAGCTGTTCGCTGAACGCAAGTTATCGTAATAATAATTAAGGATAATGCTTTAGCTAAGTGGATGCTTTGTAACTTAGGGACACGTGGTGGTCTGGGTTCGAATCTGGACGTAGACGCATTTCGTTTCGTTTTGAGAGTCAATCGCCTGAAGCAACGCTTAGCGACTGAAGTGGTGTGTATAAAACACGAAGAACTAGCGGACGCTTCGTTACTATAATACTGTAATAGCGGAGTAAGGAAACAATAAAATCACCTAAATAATATGGAACGATTGTTGCTTATACAGTGGTCACAGTGCGGCTTGGCTATCGTAACTGACATAAATTAAACTTCGATTGTTAATTTACTAGCGGAAGAAGAAAGTAGCTGATGATAATTACTAGGTACGTATCTACCTTTCATGCTCTATTGCACATATATTTTTAGGCGTCCACTGGAATTTATAATGGTTGGTTTTAAATAATAAACTTATAGACGGATACTGAAATATGTCGGATACTTGGAAGCTTATATGTCTCGTCTTTTTTTCCCTTTTTTCTTGTTCATAATTGTTTCTACTTTAGTTAGTTGGTTAGACTGCTAGCGACGCTGTGGATGACTCACGGCTTGAACAGAGGGAATCGTTGCTACTGCATAATTGATTTTTTTTCATGTATCGGAGACCTTAAAAATATAAAAAGCTCTCTAAGTCGTCATACTCGCACCTTTTCTGTTTTAAATTCGATGAACCCAAATCGCTTAAACTGGTTTGTATCTTTCCTTCGGGACATATCCAAATCGAAATTGTAATCGATGCGATAAAGCAGTGTTCGATATTTTTCCTTCTACAATGTTTATCAGTTAAAATTAAACTGAGTAGTTATTGCATCATAAACTTGTGTTCTTGCCTCGTAAAATAAATCGCTTACGGTAGCTTAAGTGAGGCATAACGTGTCAGTTTTTGATGATTCTTCAATTCAGTTGTGATGAAACGCTCAAATCGAACGTTCGCTGTGTTTTGCAGTAGAAAATTAAATGCGGTTCTGTTGAGCTATCGGATACGGCGCCATGGTGGCCTTCACAATTATAACTACAGCCGACATCATCATCGACAACTGGGCTACATATCTTCAACTGCGCTCGTTGAATAGGTATAAATATTTGCCATCACACGTTTTGCAGTGTAACCGTTTTCAAGGAACAGTATTAGTAAACGATACCGTTAACGGTAGTTATTGCCGTATCGTTGCTGTTGTTGTCGGCGGCGTCGTGCCACTTGGCCCATTTACTGTAAAGATGCTAAAATAATTAGAAGAAAAACTAATTAAGGCGCATTTCGGACGCAAACCTTATCACGAGGTGTATAATCAGACCTAACCCCAACGTTGCTTATACCAATTCAACCTTTTGTCAGTAGCAAACAAAGAAAAATCACGACTAAATGGGAGAAAATCCTAAACGGACCAATTGGAATAGATCCTGTTGGCTCAAGTTTGATTCTTTGTCTCGCGGAGGGCCTGTTTTGTATTATAGCACCTAATTTATATCAAACATATAGAGTGGGCGTGAGAAGACCTTAATTCCGCCTCCTCATTGATGTACGTTCCACAGAGCCATCGTTTGCCAAATTTCGAATTTCGGCTTATACGGTATTCAATTTTTTTTTTACAGCGAACACGTTTATGGCTAAGATGATCTAAATATTGTCGATCTAGAACCTGACTAATTCTAGTGAGCAATATTTCAAAGAAAGTTTAAATCAAAAATATATTTATTGACAACTGGTAGTTCCATGCTTACTGTCTCTCTGATGTAACCAGCAGAGACGCCTATAGGAAATCAAGAGTTGAAAATAATCTGTTTGTCAGCCTTTTCATAGGACGTCTTTATGTTCAGATGCAGCATGTAAGCAGAAGAACATCGCGCCATTGACTTTGCCATGATAAAGTTTGAGCAAAATGGCGACACATGAATCAGTAATTAGAGTAATTAGTAATATAATTGACACATTTAGGGTATAAAGATGCAGGAATAGAGCCTGAGATATATGAGACTGATGTATACATTGATAAGCTTTGCAAGTAAGGCATATATATCCAGTATATCTTATAAATAACAAATAGAGATTCGATTGTTGTCGATAACTGGTCAGAATGGATAAGTGATAAATCAGATCCTGAAGAAAAGCAAATATCTATACTTAGCCCAATGGGTATTCAAAAGTATATCTAAAGTGACACAAGAATGCTTACACAACTCAGTATTACCGTTATTATTATTATTATTTGTATGGACGCTTCATTTGGTTTCATGACGGACGCGTAAATTACGACACGGGTTTTCCGAAAAGGCTGCAACACGTCCGTAGATCATACATAGCTTTTCGGTAATGTTCAAATAGAATCCATCTATACTTCTCGTAGCAGAGGTGACGTCGTCCAAATAATACATTTGCCATGACAAATGGGAGAACACCCTATTTCCGGTAATGTATCATATTTATTAAAAATATATTTATTTATATCCAAATAAATAGTTTTCCCTATGTCGACTTAGATGTGCATCTACGGGGCGCAATGTTTGATAAATATATATACGTGAAGCGAGTCAGTATGTGGCCGCTAATCTTTTTCACGGTCTCACTAAATCGGTTGGAAATGTTGCGCGAACACTGAGCTCTTACGGCATCTTCTAGCGTTGCAAGTTGACTGCAGCACGAGCAATGACTCAGATTGGCAAATATGGATCTCATAATTGTTTTTTGCTAGATATCGATCTATGAGCTCATTTTGCATTGTTACCTTCTGTTGTTGCCTTAATTATTGGGCCATCCTATTCGCAAGTACTGGGTCCCATATCGTGGCGTGAACGTTTTCACCTCGCTGTGTCGCCATGTCCGCAATAACTCGATCGTCGACATTCTGCGGTAACTCTCAAAAATGCAATGTCAAACGGTAGTTCTATTATTAATTAGCTAGGTAGGTAGAACATTAGGTAGATAAGGACGACAGTTCCAGCTGAGATTTTTCAGTTACGAGTGCGCCGGCTACGATCTGATGACACTTGACGTTATCTGTGACCACCGCCCAGTCATTAACCTTTGCAGTAGCTTGTTCTCCTGAAGCAACGAGTTCGAGCAGACGCAATGCGCTGATTAGATGCTACCGACGTCCTTTGTTATCGATGCTGGTCGTGGTGATATATATATATATACATATATCAGTAGGGCGATGGCGATGATGGGCACAAGCAAGACGACAGAGACCGATTACGTTACTTATTTACTATATAGTGCTATCATGAGTGGTTATTTTTTGAGTTCTCGTAGAGCGGTAGCGGCCACAGCAAAGCGATAGCCACGGTAACAGATCTATTGCATCGGTGCTATGGTAAAACAAGATGGACATAGGGACTGTGCGCTGCGAACAAGATCGCTGAACGCAAGTGCCAGTCAGTTTTCGAACCTCCAAGGCTATACAAGAAGTAATGACAATTATCTTTCGAACACTTTGCTAACAATCAGTAATTAAGTGAATGGGCTTTTTACATCCGATTTAGGTTGGCTTCTTCAAAGAGATCCAACTATCGTTAGGGGTATACTGAAAACCTGCTGAATTGAACTTTCGTATAAATCGTAAAAGACAAGCATGAAAAAAGGAGCAATAAAACGATATAAGACGATTCTTTATACTTTCGATCATATAATCAACGAATCCATGGGTTTTCGAACGAAGATTGCCCAGTTTTTCATCCCGTATCCTGGTGGACATCACGTAGATGTATCGAAACGTGGACTGGTTGAATTTTGCTTTCGTTTCAGCTCAGCTCACTAACTATCACTATGTTTTAGGCCTGTTTCAATCCTTGTCGGAACATCTTAGTCGTTGCTGGGTTATCGACGATAATGTGTTGGTCTCGTTTCTTTTAGTTTATATTTGTGATGTTAGTATTATTTGAAGACGAATTGCTGAATGTGTTTAACGTCTACATTAACATATATTTAGCTCGTCGTGTTTGATTGGAGCAATCGATAAAATATACTACATCGTACAGCATTGCAAGCTCATTATCCGGCAAATGCCGCCATTAATAATATCATTATATTGATACTTGATAGCTGCCTTTTCAACTGACAAACATGGAATCCTGCCGCATATATAATTGTTGATTTTTTGTGTTTTTTTTTCTGTCAGCTAGCCGATTCACTACGTTTCAAATTCATTCCATTGCTCTGTGTTAAATATCCTAGCTGATAACCTCGTTAGCTTCATTCAGTTACGTAGTCACTCCAATTTAGATATTGGGTAAATATTCTACTATGGTGTTCTAATCTAATGTTTTAGTTGACCCATAGTCCCGTGTCAATTGTATCGTACTACTGTTGCAATTAAGAATTTGCTGCGCTACCGTTAACGAGTTACCTTTTATAGTTACTTCACTATCTCAAGATGGAACCGATGCTAGGCTTCACAGTTCCATGTAGATCTGAAGCTCTGAGAAGTCAAGCAGGCAACAATGAAAGACATCGACATTAATTTCGAACGTGCTTTTGCAAGCAACATGATAGTCGGCCCCATGACGGCAGAAAATGAAAAAAAAAACTTTGTAGAGGATAACTTTTACGCTTAAATTTGTTACAAATTCTCGATTACAGTTGAGATGACGACGCAAAAAAGATCAGTTTACCCTCATTTGTAATGTAGTCGATGGGAAACATTGCACAGAAGACTTTTTGACTACCCCATTTATTGACGGCTGCATGCCTCCTTTTACAGAAATTATAATAAATCGCTTGTATACAATGGTTTTTTACATATAAAGAAGTGCTCTGTATGTTATTGTTACCATCGGTGCTTACGATCATTGCTGTCTAAATCTGAATGGGCTTAATGCACTTAAGACAGGGGTAAAAAACATTTTGCTTAGTCGTATGAATATGCTCGGGCTAAACGCGACTCGTTCCCTTTGTTAGTACCTCGATGACACGTAAGCCGCGTTACGTGTCATCGAGGTACTGTGGGCCACAGAAATTTAGCTAGCCAGATATTATGCAAACTCATGGAAACTGATACAGACTTAATTCTGAAATCTCGGGAACTCAGTGCCGCTTTACAGGTCAAGTTAGGTTGACCTTGACTCCGCCTCAGCAGAATTCGCCTGGTTACCTATGCAGGCACCGAGGATGCGAGCCGCCAGATCGTAGCCTAACTGGAAGGTATAGTAAAGCGCTTACTTTTGTCGTCGTTTTGCATATGCATCGTTGAAAGCGTTACACTTTTACTGAATATTCAAATTATTTCAAGTGTTCAAGCTGCCTGTGAGTGTTATATAATAGTTGCGAAGCTCGAAGTCGCAACACATATATATCCTAGATGTGCTGCCTACAAAGTTATGTTACTGATAAAAACTCCCCGATGTCTATTGCCCCTTTTTAACAAAGAGTATTTCTGTGTCAACATTTTGTTGGCTCAAGCCAAATCTTATTATCACAAATGTTTCATTTCATTGCTATTGCAATAAATAGAATAGAGGCAACCTGCAAAATCACGTACTTCATTCGCTATGAGATTTGCCAGCTTTTCGAAGCAGATCTATTTAAATAAATCCTTTTATAGTCACCACTAATCGCATCATAAATACACGTATATAGTAACAACATGATATTACTCGAAGTAATAAATCAGATACGTAGACTAGAACATATGATATGTAGCAATGCAATACTATTGAGCACGGGGTGGAATGTTAGTCTAACGGTCGTAGTCATTATTAACAGTTGACACGAAGACCGCTTCACGTTTCCCTTTTTATATTCCCCTGGCAATGACCTCACACTGTAAATGTACCATACAAGGACATCGATCTGACAGGTATTGTCCCATCTATTCATGACCCATTTCGCTACTTCTTAGTAAACATTAGTTCGATCACACATATATTCCACAAAATAACTTTTAATGTTGGCCTGGTCCATGGGGTAATGCATCGACAACAACGCCAATAACGGCTCAGACCACTCAGCCATCGGTTGAATTAATCATTGCGCTTTCTCCACGGTTACGATTTCCTTCACATTAGAACTGCAGTTGCTGTTGATGATACAGCTCTTGGCAATGATCTTATACGCCTAATGATGGTGATGACGGCCGTGATGATGAATTTGTCAGTATGCGATGGCTAGCATGCGCGGTCATTCCTTCGGTGTCCGTCCGTGCATCTGCCATTTTGTCTCGCGCGTCGAAGGCTTTCTTCAAGCGGATAGGGCCACAAAGAAGAACGACGAAGATGGCTGCCGTGCGACTGTGGAACCGATGACACCGAAAGCGTCAGTTCGTTCACCGTGTTCTGCGTAAGTGAACAACGTGTGCATTGTATACAACTAGGTTGTGTATATGACCTGTGTCTGCCTGACTGGCACGATGGCACTATAATGACGGATGAAAAACTTCTTGTTGGACGAACGACTGCTCAGTTGGCAAGGCACCGGCAGCATCACTACGCACGTACACACACATCTGTATATTACTTTGTACCATACGCACAGTCGGTAACATGTAATAAGAGCAGCCTCAGTTCCATTTTGTAGATAGGAGTAGTTCGTGGATAAAAGAGGATGCACATGTCTGTGTGCCTGTGAATCGAAATAGCGTAAATAGCGAGGCTAATCATGGACGAGCCGTCACGAATTAGTTGGGAGGCGACTATACGATATCATCATCAACGGCAACAGCAGCTACGGTGACGACTGTCGTGATGATGATAACGTCTGACGTTATGGACGCTGTAGTCATGGCGATTATTACAACAGTAGTCCACACTTGCGTGACAGCGGCTGGCGTAGTCAAATGCCGCTCCCGACGCCGCAGGCTGTAGAGAAGGCCAGCAGACCCCTGAAGGAAGAGGAAGGTGGATATATAGAAGGCTAGGTGATGGCCAGTAAACGGCTAAACCGCCACGGATGTTGGACAGTCACCAATCAGCATAGCACAACGCAGCACATTTCCTCACAACTGGTAGGCGGGCAAGCTGCACTCACACGCGCTCAAAGACGCGCGCAAAGAATACAAACACACGCTCATTCATTCACTCACTGGCACAAGCAAAAGGGCGTACAGGATTCGCAGACGGACAAGACTACATGCAGACAGGCAGGCACAGACAAATACTTCAGCGCAGTACTGAACTGCTAGCACCATGTCAGTGAGGACGTCGTAATGGCCAGTGCACCGATCAGTTAGGTACCTGCAAGCGATGATCAGGACATTTCCATTTGATATTAGTAATAATATATATAACAATGTCGCTGTTGTTGTTGCCGTTACCGTTTTGTCATCGTTTCGTCTCGTGGCGTTCTCTTTTTTCGCTTGGGCGTTCCTCACTGCGATGAGCTTCGATCGTCGTGGATGTCGCTGGTGTTTTTCTTCTTGCCCTTAGAGCTTCTGAGCCACGAAGTTACTCCGACAAAGTAAACTGAAACTAACCGCTACTATGCCATTTCTAACGAATTATAGCTAAATGGCTCCTGGAAAAAGCACCGCGATTACAAAACAGCAATGTCATGTTCAACTAGAGAGATAAAGCCGCTAGACTTCATTTATATTATTGATTCGTTACTGCCAGGCGTTACAGTGCGCTATTTTATCTAGAATAGAAGACACTCCAAAATCGTAGCCCAATTCACGATACATATTCTATTTTTTACGTATGTAAGAGTCGATATCGTTTTGTGTCATCATCTATAATGTTGAAGAAACCAGTAGCACAATTATGGCATTTTCGCAAATTAGAGGAGCACTTGTAGCAGGAGCTTTGTTACGCATAATCACGTTTTTACTGCTGCCCTCAGCATGATACGCGATTCATTTCACGTATCGCTCATGCGTCATTTAGACAAGTTCCAGAGTTATTACTGATCTTACCATTTTGAATATAAAAGTCGTTTGACTTTTTTTTTATCTACTATACATAATAGGCATATTCTAGTGCATATAAACTACAAGCTTTATCTCTATACAAAGTAGGTTCTCCGGACAATGTGCTAGTAATTACAATATTATTATATTAATTACCGTGCCAAAACAATATGAGCTCTACGTTGATTGAAAGTAAGAATTTACTTCCGAAGCCTTGTTTGCTATTGCTAATAGGAATCAATGGAACAAGTAATCCACGCTATGTGATAAGGCCAAGTAGAGGTAATTTATAAACGTTCACAAAAGTTGCCACCCACTTTTCCAGAGAGAAAGTATTGAGAAAAAGGCTTTAACTTTAAGCACTTCTTTTGCTAGTTCCCTGTCAAACATCGATCTCCCATGTTAAATAGCTCTGGCTGCAGCCGTTCCCAAGCATAGTTGTGTACTGCAATAAACATGTGCTGATCGCGCGCATGTCTAGATAAGTATAGATAAATATCCATGGATGATTATCATTGCTAAAGAAAGTCGCTTGCCTGCTCATTTGTTGACATTACGCAAAACGATTGCATGGAATCTTTTGTAATGCAGTGATTTGCTTGAAATTTCTAATTATTATAGAATGTATTATGCTATTTGAATACGCCTTTATTTCTATCCAAAAAGTGTTATTAAAATTATACGGCACAACGTGGAGCATGCTCGCTGGTAGTTAACAGAGACATTATTATTTATCTTGATAGCCGGGCCACTCTTCCAAAGCAACAACGTTATTATTGCATTTCGAACGATCAACCTCAAAAACACTTACGTTGAGGCCATTGGGTAGATCGCGATAATTTCATAGTTAGAATGGCTAGCTTAGTTATACATTATAGTACCGATAGCCTGACGAAGCCGGTCTGTGATCCTGAGTGAGATGAATACTGAAGGAACGCCACGTCCTGCATCGCCCTACATATTAACGTATTTCAGATACAGCCAAAGGCTTCTATGGTTTTTTTTTTAGATAAGAGCGCCATATTCCTGTGTAATACATTAAAAGTGATTTTAAGATATAACGAAGAAATTAGCTTGACGATAGAGCAGCAGAACAGATCGAATTTACCCGCGCTGCCACGTCAACAATGTGCGAATCGAAAAAGCAGACGACCGATAGAAACTCCTAAATCCCAAATAGGCTAAGCTCTGGGAATAGTGTCATTATTAAGAGGTTAAACTAAATCATGATTACTGGAAGAAGCAAGCAGATATTTCGGTGCTGAAAATTATAGTTGGCTGTGTTCACGTAATCTCACACAATCCGCATGAATCAATTAATCCGTGCAGACCCGATAAAGAGTTGAAAAAGTTACTGTCGGTTAAAAATCTTGCCCACTGGCCCGAAGAGGACTAATAGTTGCAATGCAATGTATTCGCTTATTGGCATATCAGAAAGCTCCTGCGAGCTTCGAAAAAAAAGGGTATAGCTATCCATGAGTTAACTTCGATTAACAATATGATCTGTGATGTTTTGTTGCTTTATACGGCCTCATAAATAGAAAACTAGAGAGAAAATAACACATATATAATATATATATATATATATATATATATATATATATATATATGTTCATTCATTATATGATTGATCTGGTATAATAAAGGATAACTACAAGCGGTGTTAATTTGTGTGACGCTTCGCCGATGGCTGGTCGACTGACGATTTCGACCGCATAGCGGCTGATGTGCTGTGTCTCTGCAAAGATAATGACGGAATAAATGGTTGAGGAGAGGAAATCGATGCGATCGCTTAGATTACGTTTTACCGCGTACGTGTCCTGACTCACTCGAATTTCTAGCTGCATAATGTGTTCACGGTCACCAAAGGATACAGGGACAGAGTCAATAAACGCATTAAACGAACGTAGAAAAACTTGATAACGTCTTTTTCCTTAGAAGCTTTGGCAATCACAGCAATCCTGGATGGATATACCATAATAATGCATCTGACTTATCTTAAATTATGCGAATTGTGCGGCAAATGAAACGTCTGGATAAACAGCACGCTACGTAGAAGGTATGATTCTGCGGATTATTTAAACTAACTCTAAGGCGGCCTTTAACTAGTTTGGAGTCGCCGGGGTAGAACAAATTGCGACAGCAACGGAAAATTTAGAACATGTTATTATTAGGAAATTCTGGACCTGCGAATCAATAGTTAACAGTTGTATAATATATATTACATTTCCACAAAAGCTCTTCATGTATAACATGCTTACTCAAGGCTATGCGCGTTTCGGCGAGGCTGCCGTGTTCTCCTGAGATATAAACTTATGCTAAGCACTTAAATGTAAACCTTCTAATCTTTTCTTTCCAAGGCAAGAAGATTTTCTAGCGTAAATGAGGAGCGGAAATAGAAATAGTTTTTTGAGGATAATTTTATTCGAGTTGCATATGTGGGGACTTTTTTTAAAAAAGAGGTACTTTATCTGTAAACGAATATTTTTTCAACGATATCACGAGCCTTGTTAGATATTGCCTGTATCATCATTCATGGGATATTTATTCTCATTTAACATTAGTGGTCAACATTTATGTAAAATATTACGAAATAAGCAACGATTAAAAACACTTTTTGTGCAAATCTAAACTTGCCATTTTCCAGAGCCGCAGACCGTTTAATTAGCCCTCCAAAAACGTGTGATACAGGGCTTTATGCATGGGTGACACGAGCCTTTTTGTGTAACAATAGTAGTAGCTATCCTTTTGACGCAATTGCCGTAGCGTCGCTACCACCGAATGGAAAACCTGTTCAAAAAAGAAAAAGCTTTATAGTGCTAGTGACATAATCTTAAGAGTCATGGCATAATGCCAGCCGTGTCGATCGTGTTATTATTGCTGTTATTAATAAACGTACAAAGCTAGCACAACATTTGCCGAATTCGAACTATTGCTTGCTTCCTTTCATTCTTTAGAATGGATGACTAGAACGAATAACCTTCCGATGAAACAAATTCACCACTAGTATCCCTCAGATAGGGCCTATAACTGATCCTCACATCCTTTGCCGGTGTTGCCACCGTCAACGCAGAAACCGCCAAAGCCACCATCACGACCGGCTCCGCAAGAAGCGCACACTCCCTCGGCAGTCACTCACTCAGTAATTGTACTACTGTGACCCAGTAATTACTGTACAGTTTACGATATAGCCCTAACACAAGCATCAAGTCGGTTGCGTGCTAGCGATTACGGTAGCGTTGAAGAGCACAAGCAAAGCCAGATTAGCAAAGTGTCTCCCGTAACTCCTGCCAACAAGGTCCCCGTGGCAATATAATGATTTCGACCAGCGCCTTTTGTGATGGCATTCTTGTTTGTTTCATTTCGCTGTGAGACAAATGTTTCTATCTAGTTTATACACATATATATATATGTGTGGGGTTCAAGTCACCCCAAACAAGAGGCGCAATGCATTGTTCCATCCTAATATTGTTTGCCAGCTTTCTCTAGCAAGTGGTGCGACTCATCGGTGAAACCTGCCACTAAAACAATAACAGTAGTAGAAAGCAAAATGCCAATCGTGAAGACGACGTTCTTCGTCGCCCAGTTATTGCGAGCTGATACGCGGTGACGATGATGACACGCCGATCGAACAACTGTCTATTATACTGCTAAGTTTCCGTCCCGCCAGCTATTCATCAGTGTGGTGCGCGCACAAAACTGTTATCTATATATAAGAGTGTAGCCTAGCAGCTGTTAATTATGCGATACGATTGGCGTTTCTTCCGGTCAAATAGCTTTCAAGGCAGTGACGGGGCGGCGAAACACTTACTTGCGTTGCTTTCTGCTTACAGAGAGATTGTTTGCTTCTCTCTTTCTCTCTCTCGCTCGGTTTCTCTTTTGCTTTTCTTCTCAATATGTATCTTTATATAATTTATATGTGCGTAGCGATTTTGTAACGGGTTAGTAATATTGCTCTCGATCCTTGCCACGATAGCTCAACGATATATATGTATGTGTTTGTGTGAACGTGTTTGTATACCTGTCTTTCTCTGCGTGTGTAATCGACGACAGATGTCCGTGTACATTTAAATGATGAGACATTGTTATGTTTCGCCTTGATCGCTGCAGCGTCAAGCTCATAGTAGAGAATAATATTAGCGGTACACAGGAGAATGAGTATCAAATGATGATGGTGGCCGGCCCGACGGAAAATCTGTGCGATGGGGGATAAAATAGATAGACACAGTTGCTTTTGTGCATTGATCTACTGTGCTCTATCTGTTGATTTCTTTGTATGGAAAAGAGTACATCTTTTTCACTTTTCAGTCGGCGACACTTTTGTGGGTAGTTGGACAGCAGATGCAAACGACTTTTTGTCTTCCTGAAAGTATTGTGTACAAGCTTCATTCTATCTGGTGCTAGCATCGTCTACGATAACGTGATTTGAACTTGGCGAGCCATTTATTGATTTTTATGTAATTCATTATGGGAAAATCATCACAGAGTCGCAGCGAGATGACGGAAAGCACACCGTTTGTTATTGAATGCGATTGTTCTTCGCTGAGTTGCTATTAGTATACAGAAATCTAAACGTAACATACAAATACTTTGAAAGCATACACAATAGCGAAATTAAAATTGGATATACGTCGTGTCACGATGATGGAACAGCAGTACCTGAAGTACAGTAACACACATGTACAGTGTAATAATGTATAGCGTAATGGTTAAGGCCGTATACCCACATACCTGCTGTAGCGTCTGTTGTTCAATAATACTGGTGAAACTTACACAATGGCTATTTTTTTTGGATTAGGATAAATTGATAATCCTAGAGTCATCTATATTAGATGTCGCTCTTCTGAACGTTCTTGGAACACTGGTGTTTGTGCTATTACTATTATTTCTTTCGGTTTCTAAGACAACCTTAAGCAACGTCCGTTACTCCATAAAAAGGTTTCCTTGCTAAAACGCCTGAGCTTTTTTTTAATAAGCACATCGCATAAAATTATTGGGTTACCCTCATAAATTGCAAGGCCAGTTTTTGAAACAAGAATACTAGGAACGACATTTCGCTGCTTCTTGCGTGAGCAAGTTTTCAGATGCGCTACTGTTATCACAGAAAATTTAATGCCGAGATTTAGTTGATTTAGGCTCAAATGCAAATTTCTATGTCAACTGATAGTTTAATTAACAGTAAAGTTTGTTCTGCATTATAGCTAACGATTTCTTCTAGAAAGTAGTTAGGCTCTTTTTAAAAAAAATTGTTTACTGGCCTAATTTGGCTATACGTTACTTGAATATAAGGGCAGGAAGCAAACTGGTTCCTTAGGCAATCAGGATCTGTAAGTTGAGGAAAACTGTTAGAAAACCGTTCACCATAACTTATTCTATCAATCGTACGATATCTTCTCTCCTATCGCAGAGCAAGTACTGTGTGTTGTTTCCAAGTTACCTGCACCCTTCAAGATATCTGTACATGCGGCAATACGAAGAAAACGAACGAGTTTAGTGCCATCCAGCCTTTCAGTGTAACAACAACTTAATGGATAGTTATTGCATGTAGCTTTAAGCTTCTTCTATTCTTTCTATCCAGCTAAAGTCCGTACATTGATCACAGTTTAATCACTTCGAATACATACACATTTAGTGCATGTTAAAATTGCCTTGAAGTTAAGCAGTTATTAGGTATTTAGAGGTAACGAAGAATTGGCCATATGTAAATATATTCTCATCCCTTCAGGAGTATGTCGCTGCTCAACCAACTCCAAGACATTACGGACTAGAAATTCGTATGGACTCAATATCTTTCTTGTATACTTCCACACGTACTGCACATGAATATTCCCACGGATGTACCGATCGAGATAAATAGCGTGACATAGCTGCTCATCCTCCGGCTGCGATCCGCTACGCGGTTCCACGACCCTACGTAATCTGTCCATATAATTCCGGAAATAGATGAGCGTTGCCGATCACGTATGTGGTGTTCAGTGTTGCTATTCATGTGCTTATTGTAGTTTGTATGTTTTTGTTGCTTTCGTCGTTGGCGTCCTTGTCATCGCCACCGAACAGGAGCAGGGGTGCGTTAAGACTTCTAGACACGCCAGGGCTATCACGGCGCAGGCCATAACCTGCTAATAGCGTCGTTCACGCCGAAGGCACCTCTTCAGCAGCCAACCACTAACGAGAGATGACTCTACAAAGCTACATACAATGTCATCATACATTTGCCTATCCACATACGCAGTCTGAAATCGGCATCGACAACGCCATCTCGACCATCAACGTCATCGTTATAATCATCTAAGACATATGCAAACGAACAACAAATCGATGTAATCATTACTCTGAAAGCAGCTGATGCTTCTGCGGCTATCGTTACGGATGCGGCGTTAGTCTAAATAATAACAGTGCCAATAAAATTAAAAGATTTGGTAGAAGAATAACGCTGAATGCTGGTAGGAATGCCGTAAAGGAAATGAATAATTCTCTTGACTTCGTTAAAGTTGTGAGACGAATGGCAGCTGATGCGCTAACTGCAATATATCCGTGAAAAAGAAATCGTCATTAGGGGGAGCGCATTAAACCATTAAAACAGCATGATTCTTGCTACCACCCTTTTTTGTTTCTAGTGAAGAAGAACGTGATATTCAGGCGTCAGGCGTCAGGCGTGACCCCTAAACGAACAGCTGATATTGTATTTCCGCTTAGCAATGTTAATCTGTATTATTCTATTTTTGACTTGTCTG